CTAGTACAGAAATGAAGGTAGTAGAAAGAAGTAGTAGAAGAAATGAAGGTCAAAAGTGAAATGGTAATATTTGATCATTAAAAAAAATCTGCTACACAGTAAATAACAAAAGGAAAGCAAAGGAAAGGGAAACATTTGTATGACATTCATAACTTACAAAGAAGTACTAACTGCAATATAGAGACAACTAATGGAAATATATAGTTAGTACACTAAAAACCTCACAATAAGCCATCAGATTAATTAATTCCCTTAGGATAAAATTTATATTCTTTCCTATGGCCTTATATCATCTAGTCCTGCCTACCTCTCTGATTTCATTTATGCTTTCGCTGCCTGATACCATCCCCCAACCACACTGACCTTTTTTCAGTTCCATGAACACACCACTTTCCCTGTATCCATAAAACAAAGCAAATACTGAAAAAGGGTAAAAACTGATAAGAAGTATTAAAATGTAAAGAACCAATCTTCACAGAGTGAAGGAATGAAATATACTGACAAAACTGACAAATCCTAACTCCCAGAATAGTGTCCCAAGCACTCCATCAAACCAATAACATACAACTCACACCATAGCCCCAGGAGAAGTCCGAGCTGCCTTCTGTAGAGATCCCTGTGCCTGTATAGCTTGGAAAAGCAGATCTTGAATTCCCAGTGTCAGCTGATGTAAAAGGTGATTCTTGTGTGATGTCAGACTCACTAAATGCACAATTTGGAAGGAAGAGAGAAAACAGAAAAATTCTTATACTTCCTCAAGTTTCTGTAGCAGTAACTACTCAGCAGTTTACTAGGTAACAAGCATGCATACAAATATATCCACAGAAGCAAAAATAAATGAAGAACTTAACATTTAAGCATCATGGAAAAGTCTAATTCCTATAGAATTGATGACAGTGATTCTAAATAATTCTAGTCATACTTTACAACAAATACTTTAACATTCCACTTACAACATCTACCCTTGAAAACTAAAGACATTTCAGAAATATGAATAATGTCTGAACTTGTATGGCACTTTTACAGTTTACCAAGCACTTTTATAGATATAATCCCATTTTATCCTCACAACAACCTGGTGATGTAGAACTCAATTAACCTCATTTAAAAAAATTTTTAAGTTACATTTATTTAAGTAATCTCTACACCCAATGTGGGGCTCAAACTCATGACCCCAAAATCAAGAGTTGCATGCTCTTCCAACTGAGCCAGCCAAGCACCCGAATTAACCCCATTTTAAAGACAATCTGAGATTGAGTTCTAGGTTTTGAAATTAGCTTTTATGACTATAATTTTTCTGTGATACCACATTGCTTCTCAGAACCCTCTTTGACATTACAGTATGCTGTTTCTTAAAATGATAACTGCAGCTAATACTCATTTACCATATGCCAATCATTGTGCCAAGTTTTACATACTTTACCTCATTTATATTCACAACACCCTTTAAGAGACACTATTATCTAGTAAGTAACTTGCCCTCTGTTACCCAGCTAATAAGTGGCAGAACCAGAATTAAAAATCAGATGTTAGGGACACCTGGGTGGCTCAGTCGTTAAGCGTCTGCCTTCAGCTCAGGTCTTGATCCCAGGGTCATGGGATCGAGCCCTGCATAGGGCTCCCTGTCTGGCGGGAAGCCTGCTTCTCCCTTTCCCACTCCCCCTGCTTGTGTTCCCTCTCTCGCTGTCTCTCTCTCTGTCAAAAAATAAATAAAATCTTTAAAAAAATAAATAAATAAATAAAAATCAGATGTTAGACTCCTTCTGAGTCTTGGCTTTTAACTTTTAACTCATAATACTACTTTTCAAGGGTTATAAGTATGATGTTTCCAATAGCTGTTCCAGAATGAAAACTGAATGGTACTGAAAATGTGATAAAAGTTCTTGTTTTGTTTCATTAGTACAAGACTAGATATCGAGCCTAAGCCAAAAAACACTTTTGCCATTATCAAGTGTAATAAGCAAATGAGTACACTTTATATTATTACCTTTGGGAACTTGTATCTTTTTCATGGCTGTCATTGGTAGAAGAAATTTCATCCAGTTGCTCTGGAAGAGGATGGTGATTAATAGCATGTTTTGTTATTCTTTTCCTGTGAAAGATTTTTTAAAAAGTTATATTTCCTGTAAAGAAAAAATACATACTTTTCAATAACTTGACTACAGGTTAGTTACCTCTTTCTTGCTGCTCTGGGACTGCACCGTCCTATATGGTAGCCACTAGCAGTTAAAATGTGGTTAGTCGGTGTGATGAGCACCAGGTTTGTATGGAAGTGTTGAAACACTCTAATGTACACCTGAAACTAATATTACACTGTATTTTAACTGGAATTTAAATGAAAACTTTAAAAAATGTAGTTAGTTGGAAATGAGATGTTTTAAGTATAAAACATGGGATTTTGAAGTCTCAGTACAACAATATATAATAGATCAATAATTTTATCTTGATTACATATTAAAATGATAAAATTTTGGATATGCTGGGTTAAAATATATTCTTATAGTTTCACTGCAAATTTAAATTACAGTAAGTTATAACCACACACCTTTTAGAACAGCTAACACAAAATATGGTAATACAAGCGACGATGTGTAGAAACCAGATGTCTCAAACACTGCTGATGGAAATGTAAAAAGGCACAGCCACTCTGTATTAGTCTTTCTTTTTTTTAAAGATTTTTTAAAAAATTGATGAGAGAGAAAGAGAGCGAGCACAGGGAGGAACAGAGGGAGAGGGACAAGCAGGCTCTGCACTGAGCACAGAGCCCATCATGGAGTTGGATGCAGGGCTTGATCCCAGGCCCCTGAAATCATGACCTGAGCTGAAACTTAACTGAGAACCAAGGAGCCCCAGTCTCATAGTTTCTAATAAAACATGTACCAATGTCAGTTTTCTGGCTTTCATGTATGTTTGAAATTTATCACTTGTTAGTGTTAAGCTCTATGTTGAAAATCGCTTTTTTTTTCCAAACTCTTTTCAATATCTATAATTTGGAACTATTAGGGAGAAAACTAAAGTTACTTCTTCAAAGCAAATTATCATTCTAACACCTAAAGTAAAAATTGTTTTTATTTTACTGTCATTTAGATACATATAATCCTCATTATCTTCATTATTCATATCATCCTGACTCCCTCTAGAGAATCATCTTTGAAGAGAGTTGCCTTTAGAGAGTATCAATCAAATCAACAATAGAGAACAAGTAACGTACTACACTGGAGTAATTCTCACCCACTAAATGCCTACCAACAATTTTTTCCACAAATGAGTTTTTTTTTTTTTTTACTCTCAGAATGGTCAGAATTAATTATAAAAGCAGACTTTTAGCTAAGTCCTGTTCCCTTTATTGGAAAATTACTTTCTTCTTTCTACTTCCTAAAAAGCTTATATCTGAATTGCTTTTGTGTAGATATCCTATTACTTAGTAGATAATAAGCTTCTGAAAGACAAGGAGAGATCACAGATTTTCTTTGTATGGCTACTGTACCAAATAAAGCTGGGAAAGGACAGGAAATTACCAATTACTGAGCATCTACTATGTGTCAAGCCCTGTGCCATCACTTTAGATATGCTTTTAGAGAAAGTCTTAGTCCAAAATTACAGAAATGAATGCTCAAATATTTAGTAATCTGCTGAAAAGTCACATGACCAGAAAAGAGCCTAGCCAGACACCCAGATTGACTGAAGACTCCATGCATATTATTACCATGTATAGTTAGTATTTAATTTTTAAATGTATGGTTGTTAAAATTACATAGCTCTACAGAGAAAAAAAGTTGGAATTTGAGGATAAAAAGCTCAAACTCAAAACCTACTGGTTATATAATCTTAGGATGTGTAACCTTTCTAATATTTCATGTTCTGAAAAACTGAAACATCTTACAGAGTTGTTGCAAGGATCAAGATGTGAAAGTCTTTTTGAAAGTATAAAGCGTTAACAAATGTACAACATTATCATTACTTGCTAAATTACAACACTTCACCAGGGGTGGGAGGTGGGTTTTTAAGCTTAAATATTTGCTCTCTAGAGCAAAACTTATCCTTAAGGATTCTGATGTTTAACTGCAGAGAAGGGGAAGCAGTATGTGTAATGATTATGACCAACGCTTCCGGGTCAGACTGACACCAGGTTTGTGTGCTCCACCACTTTCTGCCTGTATAATCTTTGACATACTACAATCTCAAATCTGGGACCTTTGTTTGTAGAATGTGCAAAATAATATTCCCTATTCTGTATCCTGGTAGGATTAAGTGAGCTGATGCATGTAATCAGCTTTGCACGGTGCCTGGCACTAGACATACTCAACTTTTCTGTAGCACTCGGTCAGCTATTGGTAACTTCTCGATTCGTCAATGGCCACTGACAGGCATGAAGCACTGAGGAAACTACAAATGCCATAGGAGACCCAGTCCCTGAGTTCAGGAAGTGCAGCCCAAGAAGGCCAAGTCCTAGGAAAGCACAAGTGACATGCCCTTAGCTGGAGATGGAGGCAGACCGGGCAGCGTCTGACAAGTCTGGGAGGAGAGAATTCCGAAGAAAATTCTCCTTCCTCCGCCCTGGAAAGGGAAAGGTGAGAAGCACTGGTTGGGAAGGGTCCCAGCCAGAGCGCCCGCGGCCAGCCTCAGCCTCCCCCGGCCCGGGCTAGGATAGCTGAGCAGTACACTCACAGCTCCAAGCTTTGCGGCACCGCCTTCCGAGTGTATCTGGAGATCATCCTCCTCTTCCTCCTCTGTCGTGGAGGGGGCGGGAACGCCAGGGTGGGGGCCTCCGGGCCTGGCCCGCCCGCCGGCTCCGGCCCGGCCCCCTCCCGCCACCTTCCGGCCCCGTCACGCCCCGTCGCCCAGACTCCGGACCGCCACCACTCCCTGGGTCCCCACCCCTCCAGTCCTCCGTCGTCCTTGCTTCCCCGCGGGGGCGGAAGTGACGAACGCACGGGGGCATCGCGTAATGCTCCCGCGGACGCGCAGCAGTGACGCCACCGGGGTTCCGGGGCCGAGCGGGTCTTTTAGACCTTCCACTGGCCTCAGGTGCCCGGGTGGCGTCTGGACTGACCTTGGGCCAGACTTTGGCTGCTACTGGCAGCTCCCGACCGGCTCACGCGGTGGGAGGGGCGGTCGAGGAAAGGGGCCGCAGCGGAGACGCGTGGGGGAGGCCGGAGAATCGTAAGCGGAATTGGCTTCCTTTTGTCGAATGGAGGGCAGAAGCTTAGTCTGAGTAAAGAGCACTAGAGTCCAGCGTGGCTCTCTGCTGCGTGGTCGCTTCTCTTTCTGTGTGCCAGTTTTCTCACTTGTACAGCAAGGAGTTATCCTGAGTGATTTCAAAGCCCCTTCCAGTTCTGACTAAATTCTTCATAAAAATGTGTGCTTGGCATTATGAGGTGGGTGGATGGAATTATCTGTCCCTCTGGGTTAAGAAGCCAAACGATTTGGACAGATTGGATAGAAGATGCAGGTTCCTCTCGACCTCGTTTTATTAGCCCATGAGAAACCGAATAAGAATAAAAATCGAATTGTGTCTTACAGTGGACCATCCAGTGCAGTGCCTCCCTGTTCCAAGCCTCATCTGGCAGTAATAGTAAGCTAGTACTTTTGTTTGTAAGGGAAACCCTTAGAAAATAGAGGTATTTACTTCCTCTTACATACCAGAGCTACCCCGCGCCAGACCTGAGAAAGGGGCAGTTTTAGGACAGCTCTAGGATCAAGAACCATGGGCAAATTATTTTGGGGGTGTGAGATGATAGGCCATGTTTTGTGGTTTTGAATTCCCCTCTGCCGTACAATATTCATAAAAGAGATTTAAATTCTGCAGAGTGAGGGAGATTGCCCTAAAGAGCTTTTAAATAATAATTTAAACTGGGGGAGAAATTTAGAAGTGAAGGAGTAACATTCTCATTCTACATTTAAGGAAAAGGCCCCAAAAAGAGAAATTGAGGTGCTCTAAGTGACACAACTAATTAGTGGCAGAACATAAAATGTTATTGCAATGCTTCTCAAAGTGTGTTACACACACTAGTGCTAGTATGAAGGCAAGCTTTTTTCTAATTTATTTTTTTCAAACGTTTTTTATTTTATTCTTGCATACTATTAGTTAATTTGGGAATGTGATACTCGATTTCTATTTACTGTATTAAATCAAAAGTTCCTTTAATATAATTTCAAGTATGAAAAACAACTTTAAGTATAAAAGCATCATTAAAAGAATATTAAATAGGTGTTACTACTCATACTTGATCAAGGCAAAAAATGATAACACGTGGATAACTGAATTTTGGAAAACAATGGAATCATGTTGAATAGTTCAGAGAATTGGATTTTACTTCTACATTATTCTATGTGGTTTATATTATTGAAACTTTAAATGTAGTTTTCAAAGAAGAATGGAGGAAAATATGAAGCTTGCTACAGTGGAAGACACTGTGGAGTATCACCTATTCCTGATACCAGATGAACCAAGGGACCCAGAAAAACACAAAGAGATTCTTCAAAAGTATATTGAGAGGATAATGACTCAGTTTGCACCTATGCTGGTCCCCTATATCTGGCAGAATCAGCCTTTCAATCTTAAATATAAACCTGGGAAAGGTAAGGCTCTTTTACTTATTTTGATGTGGTATGACTTCTAATTCTGACAAGAGTGATCTATAATAGTCCATAGTTGATTCAGTGTTGTGAGGAGATTTATAATCTGAACTTTTTTGATTAGTGATGCTTGCCTATATTTGATTAAGTCCTTAAACTTATCAAAAAAATTTTTTTTAATTCATTTGATGAAAGCTTTCTAATAGTAATTACCTTGAGAACTAACATATACTCAACATTATTAAACCATGGCTGTTCTTTGGAACTTTACTTTCCTGTGCTATAGTGTATCTAAGTACTTATACTAAACAGGTTCAGGCATCTGGCTTCCTTAACTGTATGTAGCTCCCTTTAGAGGTTACTCTGTATTCCTCATTCCTGATCATGTGTTTAGTAGGCTGCCTTGTTTGACATAGTTTTGAAACTACATGGCTCTGCCTGGCTTATAAAGAGAAATAATTGGGCCTATGGCCATTATTTGCTACTCAGAAGCATTTTGAGGTTGCTTCACAGCTACTCTGTGTTGTTGGTGCTTGAGATCTGATTTTCTTATCATTTCATATAGCTTTAGTAAAATGAGGCGCGAATAGGTGACCACAGCTCTTATTCATGCAGGGTCTTATTTCAGATCAGGAGTCTGGCATCTTTTGATACTGTCAATCTAGGTCTCAATGTAGTGTTTATCTGTTATTTTTTGGCTAGCAGTTGCCAAATGTGTTCCCTGGTGTTAATTCTATTGAACCTCTATTCACCGAAACACGTGATACTTATTGGCAGGAACACCATCACATTAGCACAGCACATCCAAAACCAACTCCTTATCTTTTTCCTAGAAAATCATTTTTACCCAATGTTTTCTTGTCTTGCTTAATGGCATTATTATCCACCTAGTTATTCGGCTTGTCAATAATTCAAAATTATACTCAGCTCCTCACTTAACCATGTTCAGTCAGGCACTAAATCCTAGTGTGGCTACTCCTAAAATACGACCCCTTCTCTACATTTGTTGGCTACAGTCTAGATGCTCTTTATCTCTTCATCTGGAAGACCACAGCAGCCACCTAACTGATCTCTCTGGTTACAGTATCTCCAGTTCCTCACACTGTTGCCAGTTACCTTTGTAAAACACAAATTTGATCGTGTCAGTCTTCTGCCTAACATCCTTCACCAGTTATCCATTGCTTCTGGATAAAGTTCAAATTGAAGTTTAATATATAAGGTAGATAAAAATAGATGCTCTAATTGGAGCTTCTCTAGTTGAAGAAATTAGAGAGATCTGGGGTGGGGAGAAGAGTTGGTTGGGCTGTTCTTCCTACCTTTTTTTTTTTTTTTTGCCATGGCAGCTCTTGAGACACTTCACAATGTGCTTGTTTGACCTTTAGTCTGTTAATGTGGTAGGTTACATTGATTGATTTTCATATGCATTACATTGCATTCCAGGAATAAATTCCACTTGGTCATGGTGTAAAATCTTTCAATGTGTTGAATTCAGTTTGCTAGTATTTTGTTGAGGATTTCTGCATCAGTATTCCAGGGATATTAGTCATAGTTTTCCTGTATTGTCTTTGTCTGGCTTTAGTATAAAGGTAATGCTGGCCTCATAAAATGGGTTTGGGAGTGTTCCCTCCTCTTCAATTGTTTTTAAGAGTTTGAAGAGGATTGATGTTAATTCTACTTTAAATGTTGGTAAATTCTCTAGTGAGCTTTTCTTTGTTGGGAAGTTTTTGATTACTGATTCAATGTCCTTTACTAGTAACCAGTCTGTTCAGATTCTCTATTTCTTCATGATACAGTCTTGATAGGTTGTGTGTTTCTAAGACTGTACTCATTTCTTCTAAGTTATCCAGTTGGTTGGTGTACAGTTGTTCATAGTGTTCTCTTATAGTCCTTTTTATTTCTGTAGTATACGTTGTAATATCGCCTTTCATTTCTGATTTTAGTTACTTGCGTCTTCTTTTTTTTCTTACTAATCTAAGATTTTTGTCAATTTTGTAATGTTTCAACAAACCAAATCACTTTATTTTTTTCTATTTTTCTATTCTCTGTTTCATTAATGTCTGTTCTAATCTTCATTATTTCCTTCCTTCTGCTAGCTTTGGGTTAGCTCTTCTTGTTCTCGTTCCTTAAGGTGTAAAGTTAGGTGGTTGATCTGAGATCTTTTATAACTATAAACTTCTTAGCACTGTTTTTAGTATGTTACATGCTTGTTTTCATTTTGTCTCAAGGTATTTTCTAATTTCCCTTGTAATTTCTTCTTTGACCCTTTGGGTTGTTTAAGAGTGTATTAAATTCTACATATTTTTGAATACTGCACTTGTTTAAAAAATTTCTGCTCCATCTAAATTTAGCTTCCTGGGCACCTGGGTGGCTCAGTCATTAAGCGTCTGCCTTTGGCTCAGGTCATGATCCCAGGGTCCTGGGATCGAGCCCCGCAGCATCGGGCTCCCTGCTCCACGGGAAGCCTGCTTCTTTCTCCCTCTCCCACTCTCCCAGCTTATATTCCCTCTCTTGCTGTCTCTCTCTGTCAAATAAATAGATAAAATCTTAAAATATATATATTAAAAAAAATAAATCTAGCTTCCTTATATTCCCGGATCACTGTATTGTCTGCCATGCTTATATGCCTTTGCACATGCTATTCTCTTTTTCTGGACAACTTACTCCTGTCATTCCTCCAAGTGAGCATAGCTCAGTATCACATTATTTATGCTCACATCCCCCAGTGCATACGTCTGTTCATCATCTTGTTTTGAGATGGCATGGTGGTCCATCTCCTGTTGTCTAGAGCTTGGGTCCTCATAACTGGGCTTTTTATATCCTGTTCAGGATTGCAGCCCCAGCTCCCCGTATAGTACCTACAGCATGGTCAGTCAATGAATGTTTGTTTATTTGAATGATTACTTGCATTTTTATGTGCCCTGACAAATTTATTTGGTTATATGATTGCTTTTCTCTTGTTTTTAGGAGATGTTCCTGCTCATATGTTTGGCATGACAAAGTTTGGGGATAACATTGAAGATGAATGGTTTATTGTTTATGTAGTAAAGCAAATTACAAAGGAATTTCCAGAGTTAGTAGCAAGGTATTAGTTATTTTAATAATCTAAAGGAATTCTCTTGTTGAGACTGACTACGTTTTTATCCATTTAGTAAATTTTTTTCAGTAGTCTGGTGGAGACTGTACAAATTTGAGACATAGATTTTGAAAGTGACTTTGCGTTTTCTTTTCTCTTGTGACTTCCTTTTCTTGAGGAAAAATTAAAGTACATTGGAGAGCTTAACTTCCAAAATTTTTAAACAAAACCTGCCTATTTTAGTTTTTTTTTTTTTAAATAATTCTCATTATGAAAGACTAAATGCAGGGCACCTGGGTGGCTCAGTCATTTCGGTTTCTGCCTTCAGCTCAGGTCGTGATCCCAGGGTCCTGGGATTGAGTCCCGTGTCAGGCTCCCTGCTCAGCGTGGAGTCAGCTTCTCCCTCTGTCCCTCCCCCGACTCGTTCTCTCTCAAATAAATAAAACCTTAAAAAAAAAAAGGCTAAATACAGATGGTAAAAAAAATCCAAACAATACCAAAGGGTGTACTACTGTTTAAAAAAACCGTAGGAAAAAATCCCATTTGTATGTACATATATATATTTTACAGATTTCTTTACTATGTATTCCTCTATTATACCTTAACTATATTTTTTGAGAAATACAGAAAATTTTAGCGAAAAATCCAGGAACAGTTGTATTGAAAGCAAAGTAGGTAACACTGCATTCTAAATCTATTTAAAATGGGAACTGATAGTTCCCTGTAACTACCAAGTTGTGTCAGCAGAGGGCGTTTCACCCATTTGCCGTATGTTCTGCTAGTTTTCCTGTCAGTCCCCAAATTCTAATCTATCCTCCCAACCTCTTCCCCAGCAGAACAAAAAGAAAAACAACTCTGAAAATTTATTATTATATCAAAAAAACATGAAAGTAGAGAGAATGAACTCATATGTACTTAACACGCAGCTTCAACAATTTTCAATTCATGGACATTCTTATCTATACCTTTCCTCTACTCCCCCATTACATAGCAGGATTATTTTAAAGCAAATCACAAACAACATGCCATTTGATCTTTAAATACTTTAAGATGTAAATATAAGAACTCTTATTTTAAACACTACTGTTACCACACCTAAAAATAATTAGCAATCATTTCTTAACAAATGATAGCATTTTAAGTCAACAAACACAAAGATATCAGTGTCTTTACAAGGATAATAGGGAGAGGGCAGTGCCTTTTGTGTATGGATTTTTATCTTCATTTTACTTTATTTTTTTAGGATTTTATTTATTTGAGAGAGAGATATACCCACACAGAGCATGAGCAAGGGGAGGAGCGGAGGGAGAAGCAGACTCCCCACTGAGCAGGGAGCCTGACATGGGGCTCCATCTTGGGACTCCAGGATCATGATCTGAGCTGAAGGCAGCTGCCCCAGATTCTGATCTTTATATAATGGTGGCTCATACCTACACCAGGCCTATAAAGCTCTTTAAATAATAGGCATTTACTGTCTTATCAGTTTTTTAAACAAATTAGAAAAAGAAAGAACTTCCTCTATGTCTCTGACAGATTAATCTTCCTAAGGTAGGGCTCTAACCATTTTCTACCCTGCTTTGAAACCTTTCATTCCTTTTGTGTATAAAACTATGCTCATTCTCATTGAGTCTGCTAACATTTAAAAAAATTTTTTTAAATATTTATTTGAGAGAGAGCACAAGCAGGGGGAGAGGCAGAGGGAGAGAGAAAGGGAGAAGCAGACTCTCCACTGAGCAGGGAGCCTGATGCAGGGCTCAATCCCAGGCCCCTGGGATCGTGATCTGAGCTGAAGACAGATGCTTAACTGACTGAGCCACCCAGGTGACCTGACTCTGCTAACATTTAAAGCTCTTCACAAAGTGATATAGCTGTGGGTTGTTTTTTTTTTTAAGATTTATTTATTTGAGAGAGAGAGAGCAGAAGCAGCAGGGGCAGAGGGAAAGAGAGAGAATATCAAGCAGACTCCATGCTTATTGAGGACCCCAACCCAGGGCTCAGTCTCACAACCCTGAGATCTCTACCTGAGCCAAAACCAAGAGTCAGGGGTTCAACCAACTGTTCCACCCAAGCACCCCATAACTGTGCTTTTCTAGTCTTATTTACTAATTGTCATTCTCCAAATATCCACCTTAAATATCCACCTCTGTGATTTTGCTTATACTATTCCCTGTCCCAAGAACATCTCTCCTTTTCTCCTTATATCCACCCATTAAAAGGGAAAAAATCTTTTTTCCCTTTTGTGTGTGTGACAAGAGGAGAAAATAAGAATTTATGTTCCTATTAGCTAGATTATGCATAAGGAACTTCTAGAAGGATAAACAAGAAATAATGGTTGGAGGGTAGGAAAGGGGCATATAGGGACAAAAGTAGGAAGGAAACTTTTTCATTGTGTAACTTTTTATGTATTTTTTTTAAAGTATAATCATGTGACTGCCTTACCTACTCAAAAATTTAAATTTAGGGGCACCTGGGTGGCTCAGTTGGTTAAGCAGTCAGCTCTTGATTTCAGCTCAGTTCGTGATCTCAGGGTCCTGAGATTGAGCCCCACATCAGGCTCTCTGCTCAGTGGGGAGCCTGCTTCAGGATTCTCTCTCCCTCTGCCCCTCTCCCTGCACATATGCTCTCTCACTCTCTCTCTCTCTAAAATAAATAAATAATTAAAAAGTTAAAATCTTTAAAAAAATTTAAATTTTGGGATGCCTCGGTGGCTCAGTCAGTTAAGTGTCTGCCTTCAGCTTGGGTCATGATCCCAGAGTCCTGGGATCGAGTCCCACATCGGGCTCCTTGCTCAGCGGGGAGCCTGCTTCTCCCTCTGCCTGCCACTCCCTCTGCTGTACTCTCTCTTGCTCTTTCTCTAGCAAACAAAATCTTTTTAAAAAAATTTTAAATTTAAAAAATGTGATAGAAATGAGGCGAAAACAAAATTATCTCTCAAGGCCCAAGTAACTTCCATAAATGCTTTCCAAATCTCAGTGCTAGGTGATTTTTTTCTTCTTTTGACACCCTATTGTATATTTTTCATATTTTTGTCTGGTGTTATTTATTTATGTACTTATTTTTTCTCCTTATCATCTCCTCCAATCCTCCTTCAATTTTAAAATCTTCAGTACTTCATGGTGTCTTAAGTATCATTTGCTTTATTATAATAATCTATACATAGCATGTACTCAGATATTTACTAAAACGAAAGAAAAAATATTAGAATAAATGTGTTTTGATTAGTAGCATATATATGCTTTTTCAGTGCATAATTAGAATTTCTTCTGCATTAGGATTGAAGACAATGATGGTGAATTCTTGTTAATAGAAGCTGCTGACTTTCTCCCTAAATGGCTGGATCCTGATAATAGTGCCAATAGGGTAAGTATACCCAAATTTGGAAAATTTACAGAGATGAAATCATGTTGTAACATTTTTCATATGTACCTAGAGTTTGTCAGTGCCCAGAATGAAAATTAAAATGTATCATTTTGCAGGTGTTTTTCCACCATGGAGAATTGTGCATTATTCCTGCACCAAGGAAACCTGGAGCAGTGTCCTGGTTACCCTCCACACCCCCAACAATCCCGCAAGCATTGAATATAATCTCAACACACCCAGAAGAAATTTTGGCTTCAGAATCTATACGAGCTGCTGTCAATAGGCGCATCAGAGGGTAAGAAAAATATTTTCATTGCTAGTGAAGGAGGCTTTTTATTTAGTGCAGGTCAAGTCTCTCAAATGTAGAATTTCTTCCACCTAGATTAACGCCCATTTTCATTCTGTCTTCCTCCTTCATGAAAGTGGCTAACAAATTAAATTTACATGTTTTAAAATTAAGGCACAGGGGCACCTGAGTGGCTCAGTCGTTAAGCGTCTGCCTTCGGCTCGGGTCATGATCCCAGGGTCCTGGGATCGAGCCCCGCATCAGGCTCCCTGCTCCGCGGGAAGCCTGCTTCTCCCTCCCCCAATCCCCTGCTTGTGTCCCTGCTCTCGCTATCTCTCTCTCTGTCAAATTAGTAAATAAAATCTATAAATAAATAAATAAAATTAAGCCACAGATATATCTTTAAATTCCCATTCATAGGTGTTAATATTCCACTCCCAATACTTTTGCATTTATTTACTTAGATACTGTGGCTATAGGTAAAAATTTTGAGACCAATAGGAATGAAAACCTAAGGGAGCATTATGTACTCTGTGGTTCTGGGGCTCTGGATGGGATTCTTTGACCTATGTGGAACACTTTAGGTTCTATTCAGAAGAGCCTTCACCTAATAACATATAGTTTGGCCTTTCGAATTTGAGTACCTATTCTATGTTTAGCACCGTTCAAGTTATAACAATATAAAATTTCTTTTAACTTTGTTCAATATGCTTTGTACCATTGTTTTAGAAGAATGAACTGTGATTTTATCCTTGTTCCAAAGAATAGTAGGGTTTTTGTTTTGTATTAAACTACCTTTTTTTTTTTTTAAGATTTTAGTTATTTATTTCAGACAGAGAGAGAACACAAGTGGGGAAGTGGGGAAGGGCAGAGGGAGAGGGAGAGTAGACTCCCCATTGAGCAGGGAGCCCAATGCGGGGCTCCATCCCAGGACCCTCAGATCATGACCTGAGCCAAAAGCAGATGCTTAACCCACTGAGCCACCCAGGCGCCCCTATTGAACTACCTTAATTCCTTTTCTTTATTTTCCATTTTTTCCTACTTTTGCTCTTTCCCTCTCTTCTTTTCTGCAGTTTTTAGTGTATTTGGTAGCTTTATCTTCACCTTCCTTGTCATTCTACATCTTACTCTTGACAATATAAGGGGAAGTAAATGGTAGAAGAATTCTAGATGTTTACATATCATAAAATAAAAATAATCATGTGACCTGCCACAGATACCCAGAAAAAACTCAAGCCTCCCTTCATCGTGCGCGCTGCTTCCTTCCAGCTGGCATTGTAGCGGTGTTAAAGCAGCGCCCCCGATTGGTGGCTGCGGGAGTCCAGGCGTTTTACCTGCGGGACCCCACTGACCTGCGAGCCTGCCGCGTTTTCAAGACTTTCTTGCCTGAAACACGAATAATGACATCGGTAAGATAGCTGTCTTGGTCATTTAGTTTCTGTCACTGGAAAGAGAGTGGAACATCATTGTGCGCTAGAAAAAACTGGAAATATTCTGTTTCCTCATGGCAAGTTAATATACTTTTTTTCTTTTTTCTTTTCTCCCATCTGTGGAGGAAGATTTCAAGAGACTTCACTTCCTATTTTATATCTAAATGTTTCTTAGATATTTTCTGACCATATTTTTCCTATTTTATTTTCTTCTTAAGAATAAAACATTTCGGGGCGCCTGGGTGGCTCAGTTGTTAAGCGTCTGCCTTCGGCTCGGGTCATGATCCCAGGGTCCTGGGATCGAGCCCTGCATCAGGCTCCCTGCTCAGCCAGGAAGCCTGCTTCTCCCTCTCCCACTCCCCCTGCTTGTGTTCCCTCTCTCTGTGTCTCTCTGTTAAATAAATAAATAAAATCTTTAAAATAAAAGAATAAAATATTTCATTTCTTCCAGAGACTTAAGAATTATTCTTTATCTTCTATGCACCCAAATTGCCATATAATGTAACTCATGAGAAGAATTCCATTAGTGATAACTAAAACGTAGACAGTGAGGTCAATTTTGTGGTATGTGAATTATGTCTCAATAAAGCTGTTATTAAAAAATGTTGGCAGTGAATAGGTTGGATCTTTGCATTTCATGTGAATATGAAGCTCATAAATGAAATTATGAACTGCGAAATGATAGTCAAATTTTTACTTTTAGGAAAACTCATGTATTTTGTGTTCCAATGTCCAGGTGACTTTCACTAAATGTCTATATGCACAGTTGGTACAACAAAGATTTGTGCCAGACCGACGGAGTGGATACAAGATGCCTCCTCCATCTCATCCTCAATATCGAGCCCATGAATTGGGCATGAAGTTGGTAATGCACTATAAAATTCTTCCTTTAGGTAAAAGGGCTCTTAATGGAATAATGTTACAGCAGAGAAAGTCTAGAAAAATACCTTACTTATGTGAGAATGTAGTAAAATATGGCATCTCAAACAAGAAGGAAAAATGGGTTATTCAGTTAATGATAATAGAACAACTGTGAAGCCGTCTAAAAAATTAAAGTTGATTCCCTCACACCTATCCCAAAATAAATTCCAGGTGGACGAAATATTTAAAAGAGAACATTGAAACCATAAAATCGGAAAGAAAACACAGGAGAATTTTTGATAATTTGCGTAGGAAAGGCCTTTCTTAGCGGGACTTGAAACCAGAGCTAAAAAAAAAAGACTAATAAATTTGATTATTAAAGATTACGCATTTCTGGGGCACCTGGGTGGCTCAGTTAAGCGTCCGACTCTTGATTTAAACTCAGGTCATGATCTCAGGATTGTTTAAGATTCTCTCTCTTCCTCTCCCTCTGCTCCTCCCTCCTCCTTCTAAAAAAAAAAAAAAAATTAAGCATTTCTGTGTGGGAAAGAAAAACCCCGTAACTAAAGTCAAAAGATAGTAAACCTGAAGAAAGTATTATATTTGCAATTTAAATTAAAAAGAGCTGATTTCTTAATATATATAGAGTTCCGAAAAGTCAATATGAAAAAAAATACTAATTAATAAAAAATGTTGAGAAACTATGAACAGACAGTCCACAGGAAAGGAGATACAAATGATTTTTAATCTAAACATAAGAAAAATGTTGGCCCTTGCTCATAATAAAAGTAATGCAACTTAAAGCTACAAAACAGTGTTTTCTACCATTTGGCATATATCAAAAAGTTTGATAATATATATTGGATTGATGAAAATATATATAGAGAGAGATACTTTCAAACATCATTGATGGAAATATAAGCTGATTCAATCTCTTATAACAATTTGTCAATATCCATCAATATATAAATACACAAACCCTTCTCAGCATTTTCACTTCTAGATATTTATCCTCCATATATTTTACATGTGTACAAAGATGTATGAGGATACTCATGACAGCATTATTTGTAGTAGCAAAAGATTGGAAACTGCCTAAATGCCTATTAGTAGAGAAATAGATAAATTATGGTCTGCCTATGCTGTGAAATGGATAAATTTGTATGATCATATAAAATGATCTCCAACACATGTAACTTGGTGAAAAAGCAAGGTTTAGAACAGTGTATATGTTGCCATTTAATGACAAAAGGGATCCAGTAGGACATACACAGACCGCACATCTGCTTGAGTGCATACATTACTTCTGAAAGGATATGCAAAAATTGGTAACAGTAGTTTTCTCTAGAGTGATCAGGAAAGCTCCCTGTCTGACTTATTTTGCTATGCTCATTCATTATATTTTTAGTCAGAAGACACTTAAAATAGAGTGATTCCCTCCCTTCCCTTTCCTATGTCTAAGGCCATGCTGAATTCATTTATAATTTGTTAGACAAGAAACCTTTTACAAGCCTTTTCTTAAGCAAACAAGAAATAAGTTTAAATTTCTGGTTTTGTAGTCAGCAAGAAAAGAAATCTCCTTGAAGAGAACAAGAATCTTTGTTTTGTATTATTTGCTTTCCCTTTATAATTTTTAGTAATCAATGGAAATTGAAAAACTTGGAAATAGATTTCTTATAAAATTCAGTGTTATGAATGTCCATATGTCCAGTCACCTAGGTCTTAAGTGTGGCCAAATGGAAAGAAAGTAACTTAATAATGAAAATTCTATCTATTCCATCTAGGCTCATGGATTTGAGATCTTATGCTCTGAATGTAGCCCACATTTTTCTGACTCCAGGAAATCCTTCATGACTACCTCACCACTTTGGGCTGGCTTCCTTGAAAGCCTGAAAAAGAATGATTACTTTGAGGTAGGACTTAGCAATGCATTTGTAAAACTGTATAATCCAGGGAAAATCAAGCTAGTGAATTAGAGTCCTATGGTCCATATTTAATGTGTAACATTATTATAGAAGCTAGAGTTAAAAGGGACCATTCTAATTCAGTGTTAATGAGGGGGTAACTGTGAACTGTTTCCAGTATTTTAGAAAAATTACTAACACTTATATAGAACGCTGAAAGTTATCATGTATCAGAAGAACAACTGGGGCAAATCATAAGGCAAACATGAAGACACCAAATAGAAAAATGAACAAAGAGGGGCTCCTGGGTGGCTCAGTCATTAAGCATCTGCCTTCGGCTCAGGTCATGATCCCAGGGTCCTGGGATCACGCCCTTCATCGGGTTCCTTGCTCAGCAGGAAGCCTACTTCTCCCTCTCCCACTCCCCCTGCTTATGTTCCCTCTCTCTGTGTGTCTCCCTCTGTCAAATAAATCAATAAAATATTTAAAAAAAAAAGACATGGATTTAAAAAATTACAAAAAGACAACAAATTTTTCTTAAAATATTCACTCTCACAAGTAGTAAGGATATACATATAAACACAATAATACTTTTTCACATATGTGAAAAAGGATCTGTATGATATTTAGTGCTATTGAATATGTAGTGAAGTTAATATTCCTATACATTGCCATAACATTGCATATTGATAGAACTTTAACTGGAAAATAATTTGCTAATGTGTTCCAGGAGCTATAGAAAGGTTCAAACTCAGAACCTCCACTTTGAATAATCTGTTTTAAGGAAACATCCAAGAAGTAGAAAAGTCCATTAAGAATATGATGATATAGGGCGCCTGGGTGGCTCAGTTGGTTGGGCGACTGCCTTCGGCTCGGGTCATGATCCTGGAGTCCCGGGATCGAGTCCCGCATCCGGCTCCCTGCTCGGCGGGGAGTCTGCTTCTCCCTCTGACCCTCTTCCCTCTCATGCTCTCTATCTCTCATTCTCTCTCTCTCAAATAAATAAATAAAATCTTTAAAAAAAAAATATGATGATATAGGAACAGACATTTCTCCAAAGAAGACAATTATTTTTGACAAAGACAAAGAAGCAAATTATTCTAGTTGTCTAGAATAATGTCCTTACTACTCGTGAGAGAATATTTTAAGAAAAATTTGTTAGTTTTCTTTTTGTAATTTTTTTACAGATGGCCAACAGATACGTGAAAAGATGCTCAACATTATTAATCTTCAGAGAAATGCGAATAAAAATCACAATATGTGCAAAACAAAATCACAAACATCTGTCAGAATGGCTAAAATCTAAAACACAAGAAACAAGTGTTGGTGAGGATGTGGAGAGAAAGGAGCCCTTGTGCACTATTGGTGGAAATGCAAACTGGTTCAGACACTGGAAAACTGTGGATGTTTCTCAAAAATTTAAAAATAGAATTATCATATGATCCAGTAATTCCACTAGTGGGTATTTACCCAAAGAAAATAAAAACACTAATTCAAAGGGATACATGCATTCCCATGTTTATTGCAGCATTATTTATAGCCAAGGGAAGCAACCCAAATATCCTATCAATAGATGGATAGGTAAAGAAGATGTGATATATATATTACTCAGCCATAAAAAAGAATGAAATCTTGCCGTTTACAACAACATAGATGGATCTAGAGTGTAAAATGCTAAGTGAAACAAGTCAGAGAAAGACAAATACCATATGATTTCACTCATGTAGAATTCAACAAACCACATGAACAAAGGAAAAAGACAAAAAACAGACTCTTAGCTATAGAGAACAAACTGATGGTTACCAGAGGGGAGGTGGGGGAATGAGTGAAATAGGTGAAGGGGATTCAGAGTACACTTACTGTGATGAGCACTGAGTAATGTGTAGAATTGTTGAAACACTATATTGTATCCCTGAAACTAATAGAACATGGTAGGCTAACTATACTGGAATTAAGATGTTTTAAAATATGATATAAAGACTGTAGCAATATGGAAAAGTGCTTATGATATAGTTTATTTTTGAAAGAATATAAAATATTAAGTATGAATGCCAAAATAAACATACATGTGAAAATCAGAAATGATAGTTAAAGTGCGATTATGCTATTTTTTGTTTCTATTTGTACTTTGTTTTATAAATTACTAATCAGTTATTTTTTAATAACTAATTAAATATTAGAAAATGGTAGAAAATCATCCAAATTGGAAAGAGGTCCTTAATGGTGAAAAGGATTAGGAACTACTACATATAGCCTAGTCCCCTTATTTGGAGAAACTCGAGCCCAAAAAGGTACATTAATGACAAAACAGGGATTGGACTCAAGCCTCATGATTCCTGAACAATGTATCACACACTGCCTCCCTGAAAATTGCTGATGAGCAGGTTATTTTAATGATACCATGTAAATAATGTTCTGATAGGCCCTTTTTTTTTTTTTTAAGGGACTGATAGAAGGTTCTGCTCAGTACCAGGCAAGGCTAGAAATGGCAAAGAACTACTTCCAACTTTCAGTTAACCGACCAGAAAGGTGAGTTTATCACTACCTAACCGTGGCCGCAGAGTGGTAACCTGCCAGAAGTTAAGGAGTTCCTCACTCTTGAGATAGTTGCAGGAGTTGGAATTGCCATATTTAAAGAGTTAAGGGCAAGGATCATGACTGTTGAAGGGGCTGAAGGTGGGGCAGAGAGGGTTTTGCTACAGAAGATCACTGCATCTGGCATCATCATCATCATCTAATGGCTAACATTTATTGGTAATTATAAAGTGTAGGCCACTTTAATTTGTCAAATCTCTCTTACAATCCTATGAAATAAGTATGATTATTACCGTTCCCTATTTACAGCAGAGAAGCTGAAGCCAAGAGAGATTAAGTAGTTTGCCGAAGGTCACACAGCAAGTAAGTGACAGATACAAGATTTGAACTCAGGTAGTCTGATATTGAGCATATGCTTAATTCCTATAGGAGCCCTTGGCTGTGTCTAGCTACTTTTAGGTGGGTCTGAAACACAGAATAAAGCAGACATTCATCTTTCAAATCAAATCTCATTCTGAGCTGCCATATATTTCCTGGGGGAAGAAAGAAATGAGCACAAGGTTGGAAGGAAATGGCACCCCTTTAAAATTTAATAAAATGCAGGTCTCATAATGGTGGAGTAACATATCCAACTAACCCCCCTGCCAATTGTAATTATTAACTCTGGACAGAATATAAGAAACAGTTATTTGAAGACACAGTAGAACAACAAAATACGGCAAAAATTGAAGGAAATAGGACCCTTAAGATCAGAATAGATGCGGACCACATTATCTGAGTTGTCCCTTGAGGTCACTTCCTAGTCAGTGCAGCACCAAGGAAAAAACAGAGCTTTAGCAGAAAGCCTCAGTCTTACTGAGCTCAGGAATCAAAGGTCAGAATTTGAGTATTGGAAAAAATTCAGTTTATGTTTGCAAAATTGAATTTGAGATACTCAAAGCTGTTAAATAATATGAAAGAATAGCTTTGTATATATTAGGGTTAAAAGGTCCCAAGTTGTGTTTCTCATTTTGTTGTTGGGCTTTTTTTTTTTTTCCCATATAAAACTTTCTGGTTTTGAAGTCCAGTCATTCTGCTTGCATGGCAAACACCACTTATTTGTGTAATAGAATGTTCTTTGAGGACTGGTGAAGCGAAATTGATGCTGAGAGAACTCTAACATCAGTTGTCCATGAGATAATAATGACTTTATATACAGCAGTCCTTACTCTCAGAGGTGTCTGCATGTGCCTTTGTCCCACTCCCATCAGTTTTATGGCAATAATTGGTGGTAAGAGGATTCCTTCTTGGGGTATCATTTCAGAAAACTTGGGAAAGAGAGTCAGGAGAGTAAAAGAGGTGGCCCTCATGGTTAGGAGAATCTCCCCCAGATGATTCCCATCTGCTTCAAAGGGCCACTCTGCTTGTAGAGAAGTATTACCTTACAGACCTGGGTTAAAGAGATGTTAAGTAATTAGAGAGACTCGTGTGTAGGAGGGTTAAGGCTCTTTGCACAAAACAAGATAGATTGGTGGTTCAGTAGTTCTTTTTAAGTAAGTTTGTGGGGTGCCTGGGTGGCTCAGTTGGTTAAGTGTCTGCCTTCAGCTCAGGTCTTGATTTCGGAGTCCTGGGATCAAGCCCCATGTCAGCCTCCCTGCTCGGTGGGGAGCCTGCTTCTTCCTCTCCCTTTCCCCCAAGCTCATGCTGTCTCTCACTCACTCTCTCTCTCAAATCTTAAAATAAGTTTGTTGTTGTTACAAAATAACATTCACTCATTACAGCAAATACAGAAACATGTAATAAGGAAAGTATTTATACCAGAGAGTCAACTATTACCATTTTGATCTACTGCCTTCCAGGATTTCCCCCCCATTCATGTAGTTTTTTTTAAACATTTTTATACTATATAAAAATTTTATATCCTGTCCATAATTTTTACTCATTATAATCTTACTTTTTCCCATGACATTAAAAAGTCTTTATAAGCATAACTTTAAAGAGCTGCATAACATTTCAGGAAATGGTTGTGCCATAACTTACCATATTTTTACTACTGGAGAAAGAATTACAAGTAGTTTACATATCCAACATTTAATTTTATTTTTTTATTTTTTTTAAAGATTTTATTTATTTATTTGACAGAGAGACAAAGCGAGAGAAGGAACACAAGCAGGTGGAGTGGGAGAGGGAGAAGCAGGCTTCCCGCTGAGCAGGGAGCCCGATGCGGGGCTCAATCTCAGGACCCCGGGATCATGACCTGAGCCAAAGGCAGACGCTTAACGACTGAGTCACCCAGGCGCCCCATATCCAACATTTAATTTTATTCATTAATTTAGTTAAGATTTTATTTCTTCGACAGAGAGAGTACAAGCAGGGGGAGCGGCAGGGAGAGGGAGAAGCAGGCTTCCCGCTGAGCAGGGAGCCTGATCCGGGGCTCAATTCCAGGACCCTGAGATCATGACCCAAGCCAAAGGCAGGCGCTTAACCAACTGAGTCACCCAGGCGCCCCTACACGTCCAACATTCTAAATAATGTTGCAAAAGAGACTCCCATTCCCCAAACCAGGGTAGCTTCTAAACAGTTTAAAACCAAACTCGCATCTCCCTCCAGACCTGTTCTTAATGCCCAGTGTTTTGTTTTGTTTTTTAATACCTGGATTAATATCACAGACTGTTTCCCACTCTCTTTTTTAAGAGTACTACCATCCTCCTTATCACCTAGACTTCCTGTCTCTCCTTGGATCCAGTCTCTTGATCTTTTTTATTATCTTGTGTCTTGCATTTTTCTTTTTTACTGCCTACCTACTCTAATTATTGTTTCTTTTTTTTTTTTCTTATTTCTTGAACTATGGCAATACCTAAATTTGTTTCCCAGTTTCTAGCGACTCTTCAGTTCCAATGCAACCATTAGAGCCAGGAGAATCTGCCTGAAATATGTCTTGAGTCATCTTTAATCCCTCTCCTAAAAATTATTAGAGATTGTAAAAGTGAAAGATTGAACAATGTAAGTGTCCATCAATAGTAGATAAATGAATTGCAGTGTATTTGTATGATGGACTACTATCCATTAGTTAACCAGAGATTAGCTAAATGTACTTGAGTCTATTCAGGATTTCTCAACCTTGGCACTGTTTACCTTTTGAACCAGATAATTCTTTGTTGTGGGAGATGCTCTGTGTATTATGGGATGTTTAGCAGCATCCCTGGCCTCTACCCAGTAAATGCCAATAGCACTCCACCCAACCCCCAATTGTGACAACCAAAAATATCACCAGACTTTGCCAGATGTTCCCCGGAGGGCAAAATTGTCCCCAGTTGAAAACCACTGATCTAAATAAACAGATTTTGAAAACATGATGTTGGGGAAAAAGGCAAGTTGTAAATATGTAGAGTATGGATGCTATACATATAAAAATGTTTAGTACACAAAATGCCATATATTATTTATAGATACATATATATTCATTAGTTCAACAAATATTTATTGAGTATCTCCTATGTGCCAGGCCCAATTCCAGGTACTGGGGATAAAACAAATGAACCTAAAGTCTCCCTATACTTACGGAGCTTACATGCTAGTGTAGGAGAAAGACAATAAGCCACTATATGATACTAGATGGTGGTAAGTAAGTGCTTTGAAGAGAAAACAGTGTATGAGGAAAGAGAGGTACAGGCTGCTATTCTAAAGATTTTATTGATTGATTGATGATTGATTGATTGTACGAGTAGGGGGAGGGGGAGAAGGAGAAAGAGAATCCCAGGCAGACTGCGCTGAGCATGGAGCCTGACACAGGGCTCAATTCTATGAACCTGAGATCATGATCTGAGCCGAGACCAAGAGTCGGTGGCTCACCCAACTGAGCCACCCAGGCACCCCTAGGCTGCTATGCTAAGTAGGTTGGTCAAAGAGGCCTTTCCAAGGAGGTTCTGTTTGAGAAGAGACATAAATGAAGTGAGAGAATGAGGCATACAGGTATTGGGGGGGAATAAAATTCCAGGGAAAGAGAACAGCAAATATAACAAATGTGTGTATGTGTGTGTGCGTGTGTGCACATGTGTGCGCATGCACACACTCAGTGGACCAGAAGGATTATTTGTGAGAGCAGTCACCTCTGGGTAATAACGAAATGGGTTGGAACTGATAATGTTGATCATCAAAAGAAAAATATTAGCTTTATCTATAAATTTTTAAAGTACATGCATGTTTAATTTTTTATTTTAAGGGTAATCAATCATTCCTTTAGACTGGAAGTAAGTATAACAATATTATAATTCTAGGTGGTACGATATGGACATTTGTTATATCATCCTTTTTTTTTTTTGCTATATCTTTTGGACTTGTCTATATTATTTAAATCTCTTAAAACAAAAATTAAAAATAAAAAAGAAGCCATCAGTCATCACCCACTGCTTATTTCATTGAGTCCAAACTTAGCCATTTCAGGCTCACTGTGCTCTCATCCCAGTCCATCTGTTCAGCTTCGTCTTCCACGCTTTTGCCAAACTGAACACTATTTGCTTTGTGAACGTGTTCCTTACTTCTTTGCCTTTATACTAATGCTCATTTTCCCCTTTGCCTGAAGTTCCTCTACCCTATCTTACTTGTCAGAGTCTTCCCCATTCTGGGTGCCTGGGTGGCTCAGTTCGTTGAGCGTCTGCCTTGGGCTCAGGTCATGATCCCAGGGTCCTGGGTTTGAGCCTCACGTTGGGCTCCCAGCTCAGTGGGAGTGTGCTTCTCCCTCTCGCCCTGCTCATGCACTCGCGCTCTCTCTCTCTCAGAATAAATAAAATCTTAAGAAAACATCTTCCCCATTTTTTTAAAGATTTATTTATTTTAGAGAGAGAGAGAGAGCATGTATGAGCAGAGGGAGAGGGAGAGAGAGAATCTCAAGCAGACTCCCCGCTAAGTGCAGGGCTCAATCTCATGACCCTGAGATCATGACCTCAGCTGAAATCAAGAGTTGGACACTTAACCGAGCCACCCAGGCCCCCCACCCCATTCTTTAAGGCCTAACTCAACTACTTCCATTGTCTTTATCATTTTTTTTTTAACTTCTCTGTAGTTAATGTAATTAATTACCTTCTCCTGTGACTCTTCACAGCATTTGGTCCAACTCTTGATTTTGGCTCAGGTCATGACCTCAGGGTCGTGAGATTGAGCCCTCCACACAGCAGGTAGTCTGCTTGAGATTCTGTCTCTCCCTTTCCCTCTGCCCCTCCCCCTGCTCACTCTCTCTCTCTCTCTGTCTCTAAAACAAATATGATTTTATATTGTGTAATTTATTATGATTATTTGTGTATTTCTTTTTTTCCTCAGTAATATTTGCATAATATGTAGTAGTGACAATTTCCTGTCACCTTCATGATTTAGCAAGATATGCAGATCTTTATTTAAATGAATGTAAGTCCATTCTATAACTTGATTTGCTCCATTCTAAATAGGTCAGGCAGGGTTCCATCAGTTTGTGTAACAGGTCACATTGGCGTCATAAAATAACATGCTCATCATACAGATAATATCTCTGTGCATTACTTCCTTATCAGTTTACTGTAGGAGGATCATAAGATAGTATCAGAAGACTTGATTTCGAGACTTTGCTCTAACTCAATGACCTTTCAAAAGTTACAGAACTTCACTGAGCTCTGGTTTTCTCATCTGTAAAACAAGATTATTACCTCATAGTAGTAATTAGAGGACTAAATAAGAAAATATATTTAAAGTGCTAGCCTGGGGCGCCTGGGTGGCTCAGTCGTTAAGAGTCTGCCTTCGGCTCAGGTCGTGATCCCAGGGTCCTGGGTTGGAGCCCTGCATTGGGCTCCCTGCTTGGGGTGAGCCTGCTTCTCCCTCTATCTGCTGCTCCCCCTGCTGTGTTCTCTCTCTCTCTGTCAAATAAATAAAATCTTAAAAATTAAAATTAAAATTAAGTGCTAGCCTATCATACATGCAAGATTAATTTTAGTTCATACTTTCCTCTGGGTTTTCTTTTTCTCATATATATGCTATATATAAATTGAAAGAATTGTACTAAGTCAGCAGCTTCATAATGGTGTTCCATGCATCCTGTTGCAGAACCAAAGGCAAAGGTGAAATGGATACATCTCTGAGCTTCCAAACTCCATTTCAATCAAAGCAGTTTTTCTTTTTCAGCTTTACTGAGAAATAATTGAGGAATAAAATCGTAAATATTTAAGGCATACATCATGGTGATTTGATATTTGTACATGTGAAGGGATCTAGTTAGTTGGCAGTTCCATCACCTCACGTATTTCTTTTTGATGGGGCAATTTGAACATTTAAGTTCTACTCTCTGAGCAGATTTCACTTATAAGATACAGTGTTATAGTCACGTTTTACATTAGATCCTTAGGTGGTATTCAGAAACTTTGTACCATTCCTTTTACCAACCTCTCCTTATTTCCCTCACTCCCTAGTCCCTGGCAGCTACTTTTCTGCTCTGTTTCTATGAACTTTACTTTTTTTTTATGAGATTCCACATATGTGTAATACCATGCAGTGTTTGTCATTCTCTGTCTGGTTTATTCCATTAGCATAATGACCTCAGGGTCAATCCATTTCACAAATAACAGTATTTCCTTTTTATATATATTTCTCTGAATAATATATGTGTATATATTTATTATATATATTTGTAATTGTAATACAATTTGTAATATAATTGTATATAGCACATCTCCTTTATCCTGTCATCCATTGGTGGACACTTAGGTGGTTTCCATGTCTTAGCTATTGTGAGTAAATGCTGCAGTGAAGGGAATTGCAGGTATCTCTTCAATATCCTGTTTTCATTTCCTTTACATATATACCCAAAAGTAGAATTGCTGGATCATATGCTAGTTCTGTTTTTAATTTTTTTGAGGATTCTTCATACTGTTTTTCATAGTGGTTGCACCAATTTACATTCCCACCAAAGCACGGGGTTTCCCTTTTCTCCACCTCCTTACCAACTCTCTTGTCTTTTGGTAGTGTCCATTCTGACTGGTGTGAGCTGATATCTCATGGTGATTTTGATCTGCATTTTCTTGATGATGAGTGATGTTCAGCACCTTTTCATGTACCTCTTGGCCATTTGTACATCTTGTATTCAGGTCCTTTGCCCATTTTTAAATCAGATTGTTTTTAACTGATGAGTCATTGAACACTACATCAGAAACTAACAATGTAGGGCGCCTGGGTGGTTCAGATGGTTAAGTGTCTGCCTTCGGCTCAGGTCATGATCTCAGGGTCCTGGGATTGAGTCCCGCATTGGGCTCCTTGCTTGGCAGGGAGTCTGCTTCTCCCTCTCCCTCTACCTCTCCCCCCTGCTCATGCTCTCTCTCTCTGTCTCAAATGAATAAATAAAATCTTAAAAAAAGACACTATTGATGTAGTATATGTTGGCTAATTGAATTTAAATTAAAAAAATAAATCAGATTTTTTTTTATTTTAAATATTTTTATTTATTTATTTGACAGAGAGAGACATAGTGAGAGAGGTAACACAAGCAAGAGGAGTGGGAGAGGGAGAAGCAGGCTTCCCGCTGAGCAGGGAGCCCAATACGGGGCTTGATCCCAGGACCCCGGGATCATGACCCAAGCCGAAGGCAGACGCTTAACGACTGAACCACCCAGGCGCCCCAGATTGTTTTTTTTACTATCGAGTTATATGAGTTCTTTATATATTTTGGATATTAACCCTTTATCAGATGTATGATTTTGTAAATATTTTCTCCCATTCAGTAGGTTGCCTTTTCAGTTTCCTTTGCTGTACAAAGCAGTTTTTCTTTGAGCTCTTTTAGAGTTCTGGTAAAATTTTATTTGAGAAAAAGGGGTCTATAACCTAAAGCAATTGTTTCAAAACAAATTAGACTAGATTATTCCTCCCAGCTTTAAAATACTATTTTTTTGTGATTATTATTCTGAGCTGTCTTTTAAAAAAATTCCCATGTCTTCTGTTTTTTTATAGCTCTCTTGCTATGAGCCCAGGTGAAGAAATCTTAACCTTATTACAAACTGTACCATTTGATATAGAAGAGCTTAAGAAGGAAGAAGCTAATCTTCCCCCAGAAGATGGTAAGTGATGGACCAGGATAGAGCAGAAGGTTTAGGAAAGATGAAAATATTCCACTAAGTCTCTCAGGGCCCTTCTCTGAGAGTACCTGCCATGTTCAGTGTGGTATGGCAGTGTCCTGTTTTCTTCTTTTTCAGATGACCAGTGGTTAGATCTCTCACCAGATCAACTGGACCAGCTACTGCAGGAAGCTGCTGGCAAAACAGAAGCAGAGCCCATTTCCAAGGAGGAGCAGAACTATGACTTAAGTCAAGTCTCAGAAAGCATGAAAGCTTTCATTTCCAAAGTTTCAACCCACAAAGGAGCAGAGCTACCTCGGTAGTTTGTGTTAGAGTATAAATATCTAAGTAGTTAGAATGCAGATGTTGAAGTCATCTAGTCATTGCCATTTCTGCTCTTGTTTTTCTTTTCAGTAAATGATTTGTACTGCTGTGTTTTCCTCTTTTGGTGCCTAGTACCATGATGACTTATCTGGAGTTGTATTTTTAATAGCCTGATTCTTTGCAATTCTTAAAGTAAGTCAGAGAGACTAGTCAACAGATCTAAAAGTGTCCATCCCAGAGCTGTGCAAGGAAATCATGTATTTTACTCTTTAAACTTTTACTCAGAACCTTATGGGCTCTTAACATCTAGCTCTCAGCAAATCCACACTTCCATTCAATCTCCCACCCCACAAGCTGATTGGAAGCTTCACATTCAAAAGAGAGGGATAAAAGAGTTCATCAGAGGAAGAAATAATAACAGAAGAAATGGGAAGTTACATTTGGCAAGTAATAGGAAAATAAGGTAGATGGAATTGTCACTTGTATAGCAAATATATCTTTATTTGTGTTGATGCTCTTGAGCCTCATGAGAAGAATAAAATTTATGTTTAGTATTCTCTTTTTAAGAAAGCAGAGATTGGGGGGGGCGCCTGGGTGGCTCAGTTAAGCGTCTGACTCCATCTCAATTCAGGTCTTGAGCTCAGGATTGTGTGTTCAAGCACCATGTTGGGCTCCACACTGAGCATGGAGCCAGTTTTAAAAAAAAAAAGAAAGCAGAGATAAGAGAAAATAGGTTCTTACTTTTAAAAGTTTAGTTCCTAAAGAAATAGACCTTTTTAAAATTAACTCAGAGATGTGATTTATTCTGCTAATGCCATATATATATATATATCTTGTGGGAGGTGCAGGGTGGGTAGGTCCCTAAATCAGTATAAGTTACATCTGCATAAACAAAGTGACATTTTTACTTACTTTTCTTTTTTTTTAAAGATTTTATTTATTTTTGTGAGAGAGAAAGAGAGATCGTGAGCACAAGAGGTGGGGGAGAGGCAGAGGGAGAAGCAGACTCCCCGCTGATCAGGGAGCCAGATGTGGGACCCGATTCCAGGACTCTGGGATCATGAGCTGAGCCGAAGGCAGTTGCTTAACCAACTGAGCCACCCAGGCACCCTTTACTTTTATTTCATCAGTCTTTCCCATTTAAGAAATATTTTTATTTCTTTACATAATATTTTCTTTAAATAAAATTATTTTCTTTCAACAAGAAAAACTGTAGTTTAAATGGTCTTACAGAGGTAAATTACTTAAAAATCCCTTCCAGAAAATGGTACTGCGGGCAGATATTTGCAGAAAAGTACACAGGCTGAGCTGAAAAATACGGCTTTTTTTTTATTATGAATTCAATTACTAAAATTTTTTACTTAAAAATTTTAAAACCTACAGAATACATGAATATACTTTGATAAATATTCAAGCCATACGGAGTTATTATTGTCTCACATCTCACTCTCTTCCCAGAGTAGACCATTTAAAGACCGTTTAAACTACAGTTTAGTAGTTTAAGACCATTTAAACTACAGTTTTTCTTGTTGTACTTCTTTTGAGATCATATCTCTAGTAGTAGTCCTAAGAATGGCACTGCTTTAAAAAAAAAAAAAAAAAGTTCCAGAGAGTTGTGTTCAAAATAAATGGTCTTGGGCGCCTGGGTGGCTCAGATGGTTAAGCGTCTGCTGGTTCGGCTCAGGTCATGATCCCAGGGTCCTGGGATTGAGTCCCGCATCGGGCTCCCAGTTCCTTGGGAGCCTGCTTCTCCCTCTGCTTCTCTCTCTCTCTCTCTCTCTGTGTCTCTCATGAATAAATAAATAAAATCTTTAAAAAAAAAAAATGGTCTTTTTCCTTTAATCTTACAGAGAAACTTCTGAGGCTCCAATCACTTTTGATGCAGATTCTTTTCTTAATTATTTTGACAAGATTTTAGGTAAGTTACAGTGTGATGTTTATTTTGATTTTGAAACTATAAGTAGCAAGGCTGTTGCTAGAGTACTAGAGCATTGGATCTCTTGGAAGTCAAAGTATTTGCTTTCTCTTAATGATTTTGAATTTCTTTCAACCATGAACTTCTGCCCAGTTGAATGATTTTGCAGAGGATGCTTAGCTCAGTGCCTAACATAGTAGCTGCTCATTGAGTATTTGTTGAATGAGTGAATGCTGTGTGGCTAGATATGGTTTTACCTTGGCTTCCATGTTACACTGTTTTTTCTCTTTTAGACTTACTGTACTTAACCCTAATAATTAAAAGACAAATAGCCCAATTTAAAAAATCAACAAAGGATATAAACAGGCAATGCCTTGAAGAAGAAATACAGACAAACAAATATTTGAAAATACTTGTTTCTAGTAAATAAATACACAATACAAAATAAGAACTTATTTTTTTGCCTATCATATTGGCAAAGATTTAAAAGATTGACAATACCCAGTTTTCTCAAAGTGTTGAAGAAATGGGTACTGTCAAACCATGAGTGTGGAAGTTTAAGTCTTTCACAGGGTGGTTTGGAACTCTAGAAGTTTATAACCTTTGACTTGGTAATTTCACTTCCAGGAATTTTCTCTACGAAAAGGACACATATGTGCTAAGATAGTGATTACAGCATTGTAGTAGCAAAAAGTTGGAATGTCCTAAATGTCCATGGAGAAGGAAATGGCTAAATTATAGCACAATCATATTATGAAATATTGTGCAGTCTTAAGAAAGAATGAGATCCATCTAGATGTTTTCACAAAGAACGACTTCCAAGACCTAGAAATAAGTGGAAAAGCAAACCATGGTTCAGTGTGTGTGTGTGTGTGTGTGTGTGTGTAATACCCTTATGTTTTTATACATACGTACAGACCTACATAAAGGCCTGGGTACCCACCACACTGTTAAGAGATGCTTAACTCTGGGAAGAGAGTGAGATGTGAGACAATAATAACTCTGTATGGCTTGAATATTTATATCAAAGTATATTCATGTATTCTGTAGGTTTTAAAATTTTTAAGTAAAAAATTTTAGTAATTGAATTCGTAATAAAAAAAACTGTATTTTTCAGCTCAGCCTGTGTACTTTTCTGCAAATACCTGCCCGCAGTACCATTTTCTGGATTTTTATTAAGTAATTTACCTCTGTATATTAGTCCTTTTCTGCAGATAATATTTAACTCTTTTGAGAGGTATAATCACTCAAGAAAAAATTACCATGTGGCTCATTTTGTGTTGGGGTCTGTGTAGGTCCAAGTCCTCATGAATCAGACTCCGATGATCTGGCTGAGGAAGACTTTGAATGTTTGGATAGTGATGATGACTTGGATCTTAAAACCCAGGAGACTGGGGAAGAAGCATCTGTAAAAGGAACTCTTAATAATCTCAAGTCATACATGGCCCAGATGGACCAGGAATTGGCACATACCAGCATTGGCAAAAGTTTCACCACCCAGAAGCAAATGGTACGTGAGTGTTTAACCTCTTCCCCTATCTGAATATCTTAATACTATGAAGGAGAGCTAAAACTCTATTTTATCTTAGTTTTTTTTCTTTCCTTTTTTTGATTTGTGATCTTTTTTTGATATGTGATCTTTTTTTGGTGATGAATTTGATATTTTGATTTGAAATAAATAAGAATTTAAGATTGCTAATGTTTCCCTAAGGATTATTAACTTTGTTCTCCTAAATATGTTTAATTATATTACTTATTCTATGTTATCAATTAGGATTTAACATTAAAAGTCATGCAATGTGATCAGACTAGTTTGTGGTTGCATTCTACTACTAACAGCTTACATGGACTTTAAAAACAGAAAGCATCTTAAATATCCAAATAATTTTTTTTTTAAGATTTTATTTATTTATTTGACAGAGAGAGAGAGCGAGAGCAGGAACACAAGCAGGGGGAGTGGGAGAGGGAGAAGCAGGCTTCCCGCGGAACAGAGAGCCCGACGTGGGGCTCGATCCCAGGACACTGGGATCATGACCTGAGCCGAAGGCAGGCGCTTAACGACTGAGCCACCCAGGCGCCCCCCAAATAATTTTCAAGTCTTAATAGTGTTTGTTCTGTTTTCTTAATTTAGGGCCAAATTAAGAATTCATCTTCCACTCATTTTTTTATCCTAGTTTTTATACCAGCAGTGTCTAACCTGGACCTAAGAGACATTATGAAAGAGAGCAGACCCTGGAGCCTTGGGGATTAGGGTTTGAAATCCAGCTCAACCATCCACTGTGAATATATATCCATTAACCAGTAATCCTTATGTTGTAGAATCAATATGAGAACTGAATGAAACAACAGTGAAATCCATAAGGCCCTTAATGAATGTTATTTACCTTGCTTTGATCATCTAAACCACATTTAAACTATAATCACTTCCAGTATTGCCCAAACCTAATAGGAACCAAGAAACAGTATGTTAAATTTATCTAAAGCAGTGTTTCTAAAATATTAGTATGTATATGAGCCATCTAAAGATCTAAGTAAAAGTGAAGTAAAAAAAAAAAAGTAAACTATAGAAAATAAAATGTAGATTCTGGTTAAGTTGGTCTGGGGTGAAGCCTGAGATTTTACATGTCTAACAGGCTCCCAAGCAGTGTTGGGATCAGCATATTGCTGATTCATTGACTGCACTTTGAATAGCAAAGATACTAAGGCCTATAACTCAAGCTGCAGTCTTTCAAATCCTTTCCCCAACCTGTGAAACCAGAGAGGTTCAAGTAACAATTCGGAATCTTTGTGGTTGGACTCCACAGAGCCTCAGGTTTTTAAAGTTTTTTCACTGGGGGATAAAAAGGAAATTAGTTTCTTTCATTTAGAGAAAAAATTAGATTCTCTCTTTTTTTTAATGTTCATATTTGCGTATCTCTTTTAAAACTCTTAGGCAAGCTATAAATATGTCTCCTTAAGCTTGGTTATCTCCCTTGGGCTATTTCAAAACAGGGAAGAAATCCAATTTATAGAAACTTTTCCTAGAAAGAAGTGTGTTAAAATCTTTGGAACCAAATTCTAATATGTGTGTTAAATTGTGAAGCTTATTAGACTTCATTTTTATTTTCTATCATTAAGGATAAGAAATTGCCTTTTTAATTTAGATTTGTTTTACATTATTGCTTAGTTTTTATTGTAACTACCATCTACTCTAATGGCCTATTCCATGATTTTGTTTTCTCTCCATAAATAAGGAACCTCTATCCCAGACTACCAATAATAATTCAGATGAGGAAGATTCTGGTGCAGGAGGATCTGTTATGACACCAGTGGATATAGACCTGAACCTGGTTTCAAATATACTGGAATCCTATAGTTCCCAAGCTGGACTGGCAGGACCTGCGTCCAACCTTTTACAAAGCATGGGAGTACAGCTGCCTGATAACACTCATCACAGACCCACAAGTAAGCCAACGCAAGATTAGCCAGCACACCTAGCCTCTCTTTTTTTCTTCTTAAATAAATATTGAGTCTCACTGTGCTCCTGTCTAGTTTAGATGACTCATTTAGTAAAAATGTTTCTTCAGTACAAGTTTCACAGGCTAACTTCTCCTCTGTGAGCCCCAAATGTTGTCCATTCTGCATAAGTCTTTGTGATCTCCGCTGAGGTACATACAAGGTTTTGAAGTCAGCAGAAGAGAGAAAAATCAAGCCCCTGGACAGCCCCTGAGAGATTTACACACTCCGTGTTTAAAACATTAAGTTTATCTTTATTGAGGATTAAAGGAAAAGAAAGGAGGGTGATAGGCAAAAATGAGAAATGAATGAGTTGCTTTTTTATTCCAGTTACCAGAAATGACCTTTAGCCAGGCTCACTCTGGTGACAAATACATTTGTTTTAATGTTTTACCTGTTTTTGCTCTTCTGCTTCATGGACTGAGTGGGCTCTTTTTCTCCTTACCACCTTCATCACTCATTGCCACATGAATATTGTCCAGCCAGGTAGTCCCTGTACCAAAGTTCCTTTTATTTATCTGCCATTTTCAGTACCCCAGCCCTGCCCTTTTTGCCTCAGCTTTCAGGTATCCTTGGAGTTCTAAGAAGCAAAGCCCTCCTCCCACTCACTGCCAGGAAATAAAGTTCAGTGTCACAGCTCCTCTATTAGCCTCTCTCATTTTTCTTTTCCAAATCAACACATTAATCCAAAAGCAAACAGTTACTCCATGGTAAGTTTGAGAAACTTAACATGAATCCTGCACACTCCCCTTTCTATCAGTATTTTCAGATTGGGGATGTGTACACAGGTGCTCACAAACACACCCACAGAGAGATAGAAAAGATTGGGAGATGGTAATACACATGGACCCTGAACTGTTTTCTTCTAACTGCAAGATATGAAGAAATCTCAGGACCTCCCTTTAGAGAGTGCTTTTCCCTTCTACCTGCTGGGTTCAGTTCAGGTCAGGGCAAGCTGCCAACCTAACAGGACAATCAAGTCCCATCACGTACTATCCCTCAACATTTCCTGATGAAGGCACTTTGATTTCCCCAAAGTACTGATGATTTACCGGCAATGGCAAAAGGAACAACCTTTTGGGATCAAAATTCAGCACTTCATCTTGTCTAGTTCTAGAATCTAGTAGACTTTAATGTGTGAATAATCTTAGTATCTCTGGCACTTGAGTCTTTTTTATCACAAATTAGTGCCTGAAATCATCCGAAGATAAAACTCTTTCCCGGCCATTCCTCTTTTCAAACAGACTTCTAACAATTTTTCTTCTGCACATCACTTCAGTTTTTCCACACTTGGGACCTGGGCTTCAGTGCTTATCATACAAATAAATTCCTTTTCTCCCTCCCCACTCCCTGCCCCAGATTCTTACTTTCTATTTCCTCACCTCATAAGACAGAAAAATACATCTGAACAAAGGTGTGGAAATTTATTTTATTTCCTCCAGATAAATTCTCCCTTATGACAAGGTATAGAATGACATACATGAATGATGAGCCATCCTAAATTTAGTTTATCCCATAAAACAAGAAATGGTTCGCCCTCACTAATCCCTTAGCTGAAGTTACAACACTTAACAGTATGCAAATGGCAGTGACCATTTTATATTTAGGAAATCAGACATGGCAAAGTGATCATCTTTTCCTTGGGTCACAAGCTGAGCAAGTAACGGCATAAGACTTAGCTCTCTTAAGCCCCACTGGGATGCAATTACCCCAGCAGAACATCACTGCATCTGATTTATTATAGGGTACTCTGAGGAAGATCTTGGCTCCCACTTTCTTCATCCCTTCAGATGACTTAAAGAAATAAGGCTTTTATTTAAATACCATGTACAAAATACCTGTACACGAATTTTTTAATGTTATATTGTGCCATTTTTCTTAATTCTATTAGGATGAATGGTAACTCAGTAGTGGGTTGAGATTTGCTATGTATCTTCAATACTAAGATAAAATTAAAATTATATCAGGCACATTTTTGCAGTTAGTGTAAACCCAGCATTAATGAGATACATGCCAAAAGATGTTTGCTTCCAAGACCTCAGTGAAAATGGGTGCATGGGGGCCTATATCCAAACTAATGCTTCAAACTTCCCTCTGATTTTGACAATCGTCATTATCTGTTTGGCATTTTGATTGCCTATGAATAGGAACTTCCTTAACACTGCTATTAGAGGTATCCTGCTGTAGGGTCACCTCCCGCTCTGCCTTAGTATGAAGTTGGAGATGGCCTTTGGTCACCTCCCTTTTACCAAGTAATCTCTTTTATGCCCCTCCAGGATACCGAGAAGGGATCTGGGTGGCTCAATCTGAGCTAAGCAGGCAGGGTAGAGCAGGACGGCTTTTCCACCCACTCCTTAATCAGTTGGTGGGCAATGGCTAACTTAGGGGGCAACCAGAATGTCCCATACTGTTGCTGAGTATATGGATTGTTTTTCCTCAGGGCTGTGGCTACCTCATCATGACTGAACCAGCCAGCTGCCTCTAGTTCTTTCAAGTTCACCTGGATCTAAAAGACATAAAGAAAAACAGAATGTAAGGTTAGGAGCTACAAAATTTAGAATACTCTGGCCAAAGGTGAGAAAATGTTCCCAGAACTGAGCAGTACCTGGGATCTACAGGCTGGGAGATAATCAGTTTTAGATACTGTGCAGAAGCAAAAGAGGCATAATTAAAAGGTGAGAGTTAAATATATTTTTTTAAACAGTGTAAAAGAAAAAAGTGCCTTTTAAAAATCTTGGAAGCACAAATACTGAAATACTAAAGAGTGGTTAACAGTGAGGTGTAATATATAAATAATTCTTGATTAACTTTCAATTTAAAAAGAACATAAAATTACTCTTCTCTAAGGGATAAGGGATTATTAATGATTATCAAAGGCATAGTATCTTCTTTGCAATGCACATTGTATCCACAGGAAGCTGAGATAGATGAGATATTATTAATTCTATGCAAACCAAAACACAATAGACTTTGGCAGGTAGGGACCACAATGCCATCTATCAGGATGCTGCAGAAGAGCAAGATGAGGCTGGATAAGACAACATCTAAATCCCTTTCAACCAGAAGTTCCTATGATTTTATATAATTGGTCCCCAACATCCTAACAGCCTTAAATAAGACCAACCCTGAAATCAGTCCTTTAATTTGATATATTTATTGTGTGCCTACTCTGTATAAGATGTTCAGTTAAGTCCTGCTGAAAAATAAATTGTCACATGACTGAGATATATACAAAGAAGAATGGTAATTGTGCGGGTGCTCTGAATTTTCATGGAGATTGCTTCCTTTATAAGATTGCAAATTCCTTAAGGGAACAAATCCTACGTTACACATCTTTGTATAACATAGACAATGCTGGACTAGAAAGGTGCCTACTGACCATTGTGGGTGAAGCAAAGGAAATACATACCCTAAGGAAGCATCAGAACTTACCTCTGTCTGCCCTGGATGCACAGTTGCATGACAAGCAATCATGAGTGAGCTATTAGGAAAGGGCCAGTGCTGGGATGCGGAGTACTGCAGTCTTTCCACCTCCAATCCCACCTCTTCTGCAACTTCTCTCCGGACAGCCTCTTCCAGACTTTCACCTATAAGCACTCAGATTAATTCAGGACAGCCTTGCAGCAGGAAGGGTGATACAGATGCCCATTTGTGAAAGGAGCCCAAAACTGGCTCCAAAGTTTCAATTAAGTATTCTTGGGAGAGCCCTAAGTCCCTGAGTCTCTACAGCAACAGGACTCAAGTCTGGAGTTGGGTGCCGAATTACAATACTTATACTAGTTAATTAGTTAGTGAGAATGCAAAATAAGAGTGACAGGCTACTGCTGACCTCAGCTTTAATGAAATTCTAATGCCATGTTTGACCTTTTGCAAATTTTACCCCAATAGACTGAGAAAAAAACAACCTGTAACTATCTATTAAATTCTAATTAATACAATGCACGCTGAAATATTTAGGGAGAAGTGTACTAATGTCTGCAAACTATGTATCAAAGAATAAAATGGATTGGTGGATGGATAGAATGGGTAGATATGTGATAAAGGAAATGAAGAAAACAATTGTAGGATCTAGGTGGTAAGTGTATGGGTGAGTATTAACTGTATAATTCTTTCAGGTATGCCGTATGTTTGAAAACTTGCCTAATATTGGAAAATTATAATGCCAGAAGGCAGTTTTCCTGACTTGACAGGGAACAGTGTGCTTGAGACTCCAAGCACAAAAGCAACAAGACAAATACCTACTATTGTTAAACTTTTGTGTCCTTCAGTCATCTGTACATGCCCTAAACTTCTTACCTATATCACAAAAACCTGCCAAGGCAGAATACATTCCCTTGGGAAAGGAACTCTGGCGGACAAGCAGGCATCGAGTCCCATCTGACACCAGAGTGATCACCACAGGAGCCATCTAGGAAAAGGGGATGGAAGACTTAGACATTAGGGTTTGGGGCCTGTTAATGGATGAAGGAATGGGTAACTAAGGAAAGCCTTTTAACTGTATAGGCTTCTATCCCCAGGACAGGCTAAGCACAGTCTTCTTGGATTACTGTCCTTTTATTTTTTTTAAAGATTTATTTATTTGAGAGAGAGAGAGTACATGAGAGGGGAGAGGGTCAGAGGGAGAAGCAGGCTCCTCGCCGAGCAGGAAGCCCGATGCAGGACTCGATCCTGGGACTCCAGGATCATGACCTGAGCCGAAGGCAGTCGCTTAACCAACTGAGCCACCCAGGCGCCCAGATTACTGTCCTTTTAAAGTAGTGCTTACCTGTGGATAATAGATAATCTTATTGGAAGGGCACACACGCTTGCTGCCAGCCATATTCTTCTTGGTGGGCTGCCCGCTTCTGCTACAGAACTGATGAGCATCATGCCAACGGAGAAGAGCCTGAGCCTAGGAATACAAAGATAGGCTGATTTCATTTGGAGAGAATGTGAAGCTCATCTATAATAGTGCTGGCCTAGTATTTAGAGCAATTCAAAGGGAAATGCCAATCCCTTTCCAGCTCACCTACTTTAAATGGTTATTAACTGTTTGAACTTTAAAATAAGGAAACTATCTGGAAATACTCCTCTGGT